ACGTGTAAATTACTTTATGGTCACGATGAGGCCGGTGCTGACCTAATTAATCGAGGGGAAATTATGTTATTTATATGTTTTCCTCGCCGCCGCATTTTCGGCTTGTGATCATTGACCATAATTACTATTTTGTAATTTCATTGGACGAGTAACGTTCAGTGTGTTGTATCACGACTCGCACAACAGCAGAATATTGAACTTGGTAAATAATCATTGGCTCGTATTGTGGCTGCTTGTCTGTATCCATTTATCGGAGACGGTGACAATAAATTCGACTGACCCCGTTTCGCGATCGCCATGCCCTTAACACGTTTTTTTAAGAATTGGATAGGTGTGTAGTCTGCGCGCGACGGCGTCTCGTGTTCACGGCCAGAACCGCCGCCGGTCCAATTAGCGTCTAGTCTGCGGCGAATAGGATTGCATTTTCATTTTTTTTTTTTTTTTATCGTAATAGTTACTGCCGTATGACTCGAACCGTACACAGGCAAAACTATGATATTACATGGTACGGGAACCGTCTAATACCGTGCGGTCGATACGGTTTGCGAGTTCCATTGTTTTACACGACTCACATAATCATCATCCTCTACCACACTTTCTTCTACGCCGGAGAGAGAGAGAGATAGAGAGAAAAATAACATAACCGAAAACTTTTTCCGGTCGACAAACATTGACGAGGTTCTAGTCTAGACGTAGAAACACACTGTGTGCTACTAAACTTGTGTAGGCCTATAGCGCTCCCACTTCTATTCTCCAAGTATGGCCAATAGTATCCAAAAGTGATATTATCAAGATATAATTATGTATTTTTAATTATTTATTCATTTATCCAGATTCGTAATTTAAAGATGTGCTTGGTGGGAAAATCTTGGTAATTCACTGGACCGTATAACAACAATAAATTGTGCAAGATTCCGAGTAAAAAACCTACTACACGTTTAAAAATATTATATTCATTAATTAATTATATAACCACATTGACGAACTGAAAATTAAAATTTCAAGGACTTCAAGCTCTACTAATCGGTAACGTGGAAATCTGAACGAAAGTCCAGAGTCGCACAAAATACTAAATAGGGTTTGACACTTTATGCAATTGTTTAGACCCCTTCCGAGACACTCAATTCGAAAATTTACCACACACTATAGCGCAAGAACATTTTTTTGTTCTACGGTAGAAGTTATCCTCTATGCCCCCATAATTAAATTCCTAATTTATATAAATTGTTTAGTGTTTTAGCAAAACACGAATTTATCATTTATGTACTTGGGATGAATATGATAAACTTTTTAATTGCACATAGTCTCGAACCCTATTTATAAGTAAAGCATATTTCTTGAACGCCATAAATATATTATGCATATTACGCTTCTAATATCCCATGAAAAAATGAGTTGATTATCAAATTCTGCGTTTTCCTATTAAAAATCATTTGTTTACCCAGATTCTGTGCACAACCATCAGAGGTCAGTCAACATAATCGTCGTTCTGTAAAACGTTGAAAAAAGTTTTTTATGCAAAAATGTGCGTATGTAACGACAATAGTATTAACACAGTTTAATGCTATTCTAGAAGTTATCGCGATCATTAATCGTACATTTATCTCACTTATCTCTTATCCTAGGAAAAAATGGCTGAAAAATTATTTCATTTAAATCGAGCTGTGTATTTTTAATGATTCGTTAGAATAAAAACTAAGATTTATTTAAAACTCTAAAATATACAAACATATATACATCTATAATATGAAACAACTCATATGAAAATTCTTACTTTAGGGAAAGCTAACTTTTCTTTGAAAATGTTTTTATCAGACTAATATAACCTCGGCTTACAATTTTTCTTTCTAAATGTTACAATAAAAAATATACATTATAAAATGAATATTTGCTTTGACTCAAATAAATTTTTTATTGATAATCTTGAAAAATTCTATAAATTTAGAAAATTTTTAGAGAAATTTATTTGTCAACTTTTAACTTTTGATTTTTTTTAATATAGATTAAAATTGTTGCGTACATCATATAGCATATTTTGGTATGGGACGAACTGTTCTATCTTCAAAACTAAAAATTAAAAAATAAGATGTATATACTAGTGTACCAATGTTCTGAAAGGTTAATATTACGATATTTCAAACCATTAAATTTCGTTATTATCGATATTTTTGCCCGACACTAATAAAAAAAGCCTTTAGGGAGGTATGTTCAACCATTTGTTAACACTATTAAATGTGTAATAATCTTGGTTTATTGCCAATCCCCACTTAATTAATGGCAATTTTATATTTAACCAAACTGAGGGGGCTTACTTTAACATACGAAAGAGCCTAATTTTCCCCTCTTTAATTTCATTCTTGACAATTATAAAATGTTTTCAACTAATTCGCGTGTATTATTATAAATTACATAGCTATAAATATTTTAAGTCAACAAGTAATAAGTCTATTTGGCAATTTTTTTTTAAAGAGATCAGGGACCTGGTTCAAGGTTATGCGTACAAATCTGAAATTTTTATATATTCACCGTAGAATTACATATAGACGTTAATAAATGTTTTCAATCATGGAAAATATTTCTTAAATAAACTTTAGTAAAAAGTTGCATAGCTCGCATCCATCGGCTACTTATTTGCCGGGCAATTGCCCCTCGGTGACCTTTTTGAAAAGTCAAAATAAATACTACAGGGCCCGGATGATGCTGACTAAACTCTGGTTTATAGTTTGAGATTTCCTTTGTGCCAGTATATTATAGTCAGTTTTAAAACTATCTAAATATTCATCTTTACACTCTTTCTCTCTCCGCCTGTTCTCTTTGCGGTCAAAGAGGATGGTTCACGGTTGAGGTGCGGGCTCGTACATGATACACACTACACACAACGTTGTGCTGTCTGCGCTTTTGTCTATTTGGCATTCACCTAATGATCTCCGGTGGGCAGTCTCGTGTAGACACGGAATAGGCCTAGTATGTGTGCCAACAGGCAACAACAGTATATTGGGATAGTAATTTTCAGTTGTTGTTGTTTGTATTCAGGCTGGAGCTAACCGAAAAGTGAAATAATACATAACATTTACGAATAACGCAGCCTAATGTATTGCACATAAGAGATAACGATGTTCACTGTGAGAAATAAATCAGTCGAAATATCTAGATTACGTGCCTCTCGGACATACTCGAGAGTTCTAGCTGTGGGATATGTTATGTGATAAAATCGATTTGGAGAAAAAAGATAAAATAATACATCTTATATGCATATAATTTTTCTTTTTTTCTTCAATGAAAACATTTTTAACGAATGGAACAGACGCTCGCAGTATTTTAATGTCCACAAAATTTTGATCGATGATCATGTCTATACACTTTTCACAGATATCCGTGAACAGTATTTTATTGATCAAAAAGATGTTGGAATCAAATATAAATCAAGGTCAGCTGTAAAAACGTTTGTTCCCAAATAAAGATATCACACTTTTCCTCGGCGTGATACGTTCCCCCGGCAGATCCTCGTGGTTTTAGTTCAATAATAGAAATATAAAATTTTTATTTATGTTTACAAGTATGAGACTATACAAAATGACAGACGTTATAAATAGGCAATAATATTAGTCATGTAAAGCGATTGTTCTGTTTCGTTACAAGTGTATTTGCACGGATAACTGTTTACGAATACAAAGTTGTAAACAGTGTAGTGCATACATCAAATTGTCTTGTTCATTAATAATAATACATTCTGCGTATTCTTAAATTGCAATCGATAAGCTCATCCGTATGATGTCGGAGTTAACGGAAAAATCATTTTCTCCATACCGGATACGGTGCCACCCGTAACCTTGGTCTGTATGACAGTGTGTATACGGCCCCCTTTGACTCCTTGGCGTCTTAGTTGGACATACGGAGGAGCGGAAACACAATAACGTATTCCGTGCTGCAGTCTTCAACGTTTTCATAGTTGCGACTAGCTAGAGACGCCGCCTATGCTGCGCTTATTATTCTTGTGGTACCAACCCATGCGGTCGCACAGGCATGTATGTTAAAATGACCCCCAAAAAACTATAAAATATCCTGAATATTAGTAGCTTGTTAATAATTATATACGATTCGGCGGCGCGCTGTTATGTTTGCGAGGATGGGTGAGCAGGAAACGCCGAATCAAAGAACACGTAACACAATATAACATTAATAATATAATAGCGCCTAGGTAAACCATAAATTTGTAATAGCGTCCAGTCGTCGACGTCGTTAACATGCGTAGTCGGTTCGCGATGGTATGCGTGCACGCATATTAATATTTCAGTGCGGTTGTTTTGTCAGTATGTGTGTGTGTGTGTGGCATAGCGTTACGCTAGCGGCATGGACTCTTCTCCTACTATTGCTACTCTTCCCGTCGCTCCTACCCATCTAGTCGTTTGTTTCCCCATCCCCGCCTAAACTGAACGGTCGACCGCGGAACAGTGAACCTCATGGTGAAGGCGAAAAATAATGCGTGCGGCAGCGGCCAAGGAACGCACAACACAAAAAATAATAACGGGTGTGTAGAAAAAAAAAATACCATAAAAATAAGTGGTCGCACAAAAAGGAGAGAGAGAGAGGACACTGTTCTATTATAGCCGTTAAAGCGAGTAAGCAACCGAGCGAGCGAGCGATATGCGACCGTGGTAGGCGGGCGCCAGATGGAATGGGTATGGTAGGACGAGCGTGAACAAAAAAATAACCTCAGCGCTCAGCTTGGCAAGAGCGTTCCGGGGCCCGCGTGCGCACTCGGATTTCTTGCGGCTGTGGCCTTCGACGGTTACCGCCGTCCGCCTGCCATACCGCTCCTATTGCGAATTATCCCCGCCATCGTAGAACGGAGGACGAACGCAGTGTTGCACCTTATACGGGCGCTGCAACACCGTGCACGCGCGCACCGATTGTCGAAAAACCGAGAGTGGTCGATATCGGAAAAATAACATTTAGAATAAGCTCCGCCACACTGTCAGACGGTCCATTGTGATCTAAAGGGGGCGGCGGGAGGTACTTGGCGTTTTGCGAGAGAGAGGGAAGTACGGATCTATTGCGATTTTGCGCGTGCGTGCATTTGCTGTCGGACGCCGCTTTTGTGTGCGGCGTGGTCGTCACCCTCCGTCGCCACTGCCGCCACCACAGCCGATGGGACGCCGGCGCGCGCGGTATGCGAATAGTGATAGCATTAAATAGAAGTGGAGGGATGGCGGCGTGTCCGGGCGGGGATCTAGTGCCGTTTTCGACCGATGCAAAAACGTCAGCGCGCCAAACTTCGCGACTCATCGGTTCGCCTACAGCCGCCGCCACTGCTGCTGCATTATGCCATTTTCGCCTTCCGGCCCGCAGCCGCCGCAGCCTGTGCTAAAACTAGTGAGTGCGTGTGCGTGAGCGTGTGTGCGCGCTAAACGAGTGCGTTTTATTTTTCCCCTCGAACATACTTTGTATCGCTAGTAAAATATTACACTCCGTTTGTTCTAATAAAATAATACAATATTTAATATATTACACACTTACCGGTAACTGTTTCATATAAAATTAATAATATTAAATAAATTCATTAATACGGTCGATATTCATAAGGTCCCCCTCCACTTGGTGCACGATTGCAATTTTTTTTCCTACAAACGTTATGCGTCTTACGGCGCAGCCTTCGTTGTTGTCGCCGCCGCCGTCGTCGTCGCCGTCGCCGTCGCCGCCAACGCCGCGTACACATCGTTGTAATTGAAAAAAAAATTCTTAATAATTATTTCAAAGTATACAAATTAAAGTTATTTTGTATGTATTTTAAATTAACATATTAAATGTTTTTGCGTACGTTTTGTGCATAGTGTACCTCAATAGTTAAAATAGTATTTAATACTTATCATCGTGTATCGTGTGCGCCGCGGGACTTAGTCAAGAGTTGCGTCCAAAGTTTTGCCAAGGTAATTGTACTGAATGTAATGTAATAGCTAAAGTATTGAATGTTATCAGTCTGTAAAAAATACCTTTCACGACATGCATACCACTGCTTACAAGTGCACGCGCCCGACGTCTGCGATTTTTGCCACATAACTTTATCGTTTATTGAAAAAAAAAATGCAATATCTATTTACTGGCAACGCTATCGCATTGTATTTATCTTTGTGTTTTGTTGTAGTTAATCACCAATTTAGTTGCATGGATATAATTTCACAAATTATTTTAGCTTTTCAATAATAAGGTTGTCTATTAACAAAATTTAAACGTAATCGATTTTTATTTGACATATTAAATTGTTAATTTTTTCCACTCGATCGTATTTGCAGTTATCACTTAAAATTTCCATAATCATATATTTCTTTACATTACTGCATTGAATACAATGCATTCCATTTTTTTGTTTTGTTTGTGTCACGTGTAAATTAAAAGATTTCTTTTTGTTTAATCAACAGTCGATGTAATTGAATTTTTCCTAATAAATTTACCAGAATAGTTTTGATCTAGTTAAAATGTATAAAAAAAAACATTTTATCATTTAACATTATCTGTACAATATTCAGTATTATATATGGCATGCGTGTAAAGAAAAATCGCGCGTTGCACGTCAATTATTAACAATAATGATAATGTCGACGCTGCAACGCGGTAGGACCGTAACTTGGCGATGCGCGCGCTGTGTTCGCCACTAGCTCAGCTGATGCCATCGCTATCATTGTTGGTTGCTGGTGAGCGATCGTCCGTCCGTGTGTGCGTTGTGTATGTGTGAGTGTGTACGGTGTTCGGTGACGGTAGTGGCGGACACGATTAAAAAATTGTAATAAAATATTTATTAATTTCAACAAAAATTTTATGTAGTAATTATCATGTAAAAAAAAAAATCTCAATCACATCTTGTTTTTGTATCATATTTTTTTTGCATAATGCATGAATTTTACACCTGACTGTTAATTACTATTTTAAATTTTCATTTTCATCGTTATAAATTAGTGATAATAATACTGATAACTGAAATAATAATAGTTATTAACTTTTTTTGTGTGTGTAGACCTCAATAAATTTTGGACTTTTGGCCCATCTACCTCATTGCCATGTACATTTGACGGATTTGTTGGCGAAAAAGTTTGTTAACTGGTGAGTAATTGGATAAATTTTTAAAAACATACAACTTTTTCACTCTTTGACCATTATTTTTAATCAATATTTGCTTGGGCAAATTTTTTTTTTTTTTAATTTTCTGATAAGACAAAGATTATGGTTTTAAGAAATCATCAAATGTTAATGATGAAAAAACATTTATGATTTAAATAACTGTTTTAATAAAAAATGTGTGCTTTAGCACTATCTCTATTGGGTTATTATTATCTAGCCGACTTTGGCTGATTATTTTCTCTTTACTATTTATGTTAAAATTAGAAATTATATATATATATATAATTCAGTTTTTTGTTATATAATACATTAAAAATGTAATGTATCTTATAATTTTTTTAGTAGTGATCTGTTATTTGTGTTGGTTGAATTTTACAGATTTGGTATTGTAGTGATTTAATCGGATATTATCTATACTATTGCCCGATATTTGACTAACAATACTTGAAAGTGATTAGTTTTATATCACTTAAAAATCAATTGCTTGATTGTATATAGTACAAAAGGTATTATAAAAAAGATAAACTAGTAAATACATGTATGCGACTTAAATTTGTGAAATTATAACTAAATTCCTTGAAAATAAAATTTAAATTTTTTCTCTTATATTATTAAATTATTAGCCTTGTAATAATTCAAAGTTAAGTTTAAAAAATATTTATTTTTTCAATGCAAAGGCACATATACTTAAATATAAACTATATTGATAATATAATTATAAAGAACCTAAGTTCTTTATTGTTGTACATTTATTTTCTATTAGAAATTTCATTTACTTTTTGGACTTGTCATAATATTGTATAAATCTAACATTAATATATTTATAACTGTATGAATATACAAATGGTAAATTATTTCGCTTTTAAGTTAATTCTTGAAGAGTACTTTTTATACTTTGTAGCCATACATTTATTTATTACACATAAAAAAATGTTAATCATTATTAAAAAAAAAAAAAAAAAAAATGTAATTTAAGCATTTAAATTTACATTTGATTTTGGTATTGACAAATCAATATATGCATTATTAGTGGAATTGTTTAAATGTAATAATTTAGTGGGCAAGTTTTGACCCTCGATTAAAATATAGTTATTTGTAAAGTTGGGTTATTGTTTTTTAATAATAAATGTATTAAATTAATTAGGAAAAATAATTTTATGCATATGTGTAATGATATATATTCTATCATGTTTTGAATTCTAACTTATTGTGTCATCACTTGTCGATCAAAATATAAAAACAATTGTTGTATTTAAGCTTAAATAAATGTATAAAAAAACACTATAAAATCTTCTTTTGAATGTATTTTATGTAAATTTTTCTTACTTGAGCATTGATGTAGAGTATAACAAATATGTTTACATAGTTACATTTGTACTTATAGTATTTCTATACCTAAATAAACAATGACGCTTGATATTTAAAAACTGCAATAAAAAAAAAAGAATATGAAAACAGTAATTATATATATATTTATAATAGACACTATGTATACATAATAGTTTTTTCTATTAAAATTATTTATTTTTTAGAAATATTTATTTTTATACTAAAAAATAATTCTGTTATCATAGTTAAGTGATTAGATTAAAAAAATCATCTCTTAATGTTCATTATTTGAGAAAAATGTGATATGAAAAAGTTATATAATAACAAAAAAAAAAGTATTATAAACAAAAATGTACATAATATGATGATCGTAATAAAAATTTAAAAACAATTTTTTTATAAACTCAATTTAATTTAAATTTTACTAATGAATTAAGCTCTAAAAAATGTTTTTATCTATGGTTACAAAGTTGGGTTTAATTATGTTTTAGCCTATTTTTTTATTTTATTTAAAAAGGTTATTTGTTTTCAAGTTGAACAATAAAAATTAATAAATAGCTATCATTAGTCATGTTAGCAAAGATATACTCTTAAAATAATTTAAATATATGCTGTTATACACTAGAAAAATATAAATATTATATATTATAATAATTAAATATAATATTATAAAATATTTTATACATTTCAAATTTAAATTAGTATATTATTACTAATTCAAATTAAGTAGTAATATGAAATGAATTTATATTTAAATGTCATTTTATATGTAAATCTTTAAATAAAAATACAAACTCTTGGATAAAGTTAGGTTGGTTTATGTCAGCTAATTTTAGACTGGTGTACATTGGGAAAGTACTGCGTTCAAATCAAATCAAGGAAAATATTGATTTAAAATAAAAATACTTAAAAGAAAAAATAATGTTATTAATTGATGAATTTCTGTTGTTTTTTTTTTTTCAGATTACTGTTATGAATATTTAATTATTGTCTCAAAAAAAAAACTGGAATGGACCCACATCAACAATTTTGCCTCAAGTGGAATAGTTTTAGTAATAACTTAGTGACTGCATTTGACAGCCTTTTTAAATCAGAGAGCCTAACGGATGTTTCGCTATTTTGCGAAGGTAATTTATAGATTACATATGTAGTTTTTATGTATTTTAACAATATATATCATCTCCATTGACTCTTTCTAAAGTAATGGGGTTGACTCTACAATAATAATTACAATAAGTTAGGTTTTTACATTGGCTGAAAGAGCCAGTAAGGAGTATGTCACTAAATAATCTACTGTGCCATATAAAACCTACTTTTGACCATTTTTATGTTTATAGAGACCAATTTGAGGGGCTTAGGATTTTAGTATATAGCTAAAGATTATAGATCAAACTTTTTTATAGAAGAAAATCCTGGGATTCTTAATTTAGCTTCACATACCATATATTTTAATTATTCGTTCTTTAATATGAAAATTAATCAGTGACATAATTTTCGAGTCATCAAAATTTTTTTAAGGCTGCTATTTGTACAGTTTTTTTTTTTTACAAACATGCGATTTTTTTACTTTATTTAAGCTATTATAAAAAAATGTTTCATTTAATGTTGAATAAGAATTTTGTTTTAAAAAGTTTTTTGTAGAAATAGCTTTCAAATACAACAGTCTTTATATAATTATTAAATTTTGACCATTTTTACTAAGAATTATTTAATTATTAAAAAACTTTATGTCTTTTTTTTAGGAAAAACATTCAAAGCTCACAAACTAATCCTGGCAGCATGTAGTAAACATTTCCAAGAAATATTTGAAGCTACACCTTTGGGATCTAGTTTAATAGTTATTCTCGATGGAACATCTTCTACGAACATGGAATCATTGCTTGAGTTCATGTATCGCGGAGAAGTCCAAATATCTCAAGATAGGCTCTCTAGTTTCTTAAAAACAGCTGACCATTTACAAGTAAAACTTCAATTAATTTTAATTTAATTATTTATTTTATATGAGTATTTTGCTGTACTCAAAAGATTTTATTGAGGTTAATCTACTAATCATTATATCTTAAATATTCTTTATTGTAATAGATGATTACAATAATAAAGAAATATTACTCTGTGCGACAAATTTTAAAAGGAATAAAAAGGAAAAATAATTTTTAATTTTTTTAAATAACTTTCATTAGTCTATTATCTAGAAACTAAAATTTTAGAAACACATGTCATGTTGCATTCTTAGATTAACTTAATTTATACCTTTTACTGATTATCAAAATATATATTAATATATATTAAATATATAATAATATACTATTAAAAATTTATTCATATTTATGCGTCAAAAGAGAAATCTAAATAAATTTATAAAATACTTTTAAAATTTTAAATATAAGTTTGATCACTAACAGGTTGTCCAAAAAGTCCCGGGACTAACAAAAAAAACATTTTTTTTCACATAATTTGGCTATTCATCGACATGAATAATAATTAAATAGTAATAAATAATTAATTAATAATAATAATACTATTTTTATATGTTATATTAAATTTATATATTGATGACTTAGACATGAGTGGGTTTTAAGCAAAAATGCCACCTATAGTGCTTAATAGGCACTCAGTTTATGTGTTTTTTTAGTTCACATTTGTAATCTATGAAAAATTAATAAAAAAAAAATTAAAAAATTTTAGGTCAAAGGCCTGTCATTTGAATATGACAAATTCTCACTGACAAGTCAACGTGAACAATTTAACAGTGAAAACAAAACACCTATAGATTCCCCTCGGCCGACCCGGCAACAAAACGGATCGGAAGAGGTTCAGTTACAGTCTACCTCATTTAGTCATATCCCTTCTTTTATAAACTCACATTATCGTCAAGCTAGCAATGCACATGGTGAGCAGCATCCTCCATCGCCTGATCCCCAAAGAAATAAACGTTCACTTCATAGTAGTCCAAACTCTACACCGGTCTCGGACACTCTTGGAGTAAGAGAATCAGTTTTACGAAATGGTTCGAGACCAGAACCTCCTCTTTCTCTAACTTATCCGCCGACGACCCATATGGATAATTCACATCAGTCCCAAACAAACAATTCAGGTCCTGTAGATGCTACCACATCTTCTCACCATTATCGCAATATTACCAATGATTGTGGAGAAGGTAAATTTTTTTATTATTCTATACATCTTAATTAACCATAACTAAAATGTAAAATTAATTAAGTATGTAACCATAATTTTTAATTGTTTCTTAAATTATAATTACTTTAGTAATTATAATTTATTGATTGAGTAATTTAAAAAAAATACAAGTTGAAATATTTGACTAAAATGGCTGATTTAAATTAATTAGTACCTTTTGACAATAGAAAAATTTATATGAAAAAAATTTCAATAAAATCAAACACCACATATTTAGGATCCCTGAAATCATTAAAAGTAATATATCATTAATAAAATAATAAAAATACCAAAAATTAATAATAATAAAATGGATATAACATTTTTGTGTTCATATGATAATGATATGTTTTCAAAATATAAAAAAAGGGAATGAAAAAATTGTAATAAATAAATATATTAAGTTCACTTGTCTATTGCAGTACTTAAACTCCTAAAAAGCCCTTATCTATTTTAAAGTATTCTGTAGATCGTACAGCTATTACAACATCCTTCTTCAACATTTAATTTTTTTTTTAATTTTTTAATACTACTAAATAACTAAAAAAACAAATTTTATAAAAATTTTTTTAAAAAATCAAATTTACAAAAAAAAATTTATTAAAACGTTAATAATATACACTTTTATTTAATCAACAATCAAACTTATGTCACCAACTAATATAATCTATAACATAAACTAATCTATTTATATGTGTAAATATTAAATAAGTTATATTACTTTGAAAATAACTAAGTGAATTCATAAAGACATTAAAATAAATATTTTGTAAATAGAATGCATAAGTGTTAAGAAAAAGGATGTAGCAGTTTGAAACACAAATAGCTAAAAAAAATAATAATTTTTAACATTTTTCATTTATTTTATTAATATTCATTACTTTATTCATCTAATTAAATATCTAGAATTTCATTAAAATATTTATCACATATTTATTTCTTTAGTTTATGATATCTTTCCTAATTTTTGTCATATGGATATTAGTTAATTTAAAAAAGTATTTATCAATCTTATATTGTTATAACAATTTATAAAATTATCAAGTTTTAATTTTTGTATTAATGGTATAAATATTTACTTTGTAGATCTGCGAATAAAATCTGAACCTGTAGCTCCACCAAATATTGGAGATTTACATCCTCAGGGTACAGGTTTAACAAATGAATGGAAAACACTTGATAATGGGAAAACACCATCATCTCCTTCAAATCATTCTTGGAAAATGGATCCTTGTCATAAAAATATTGTGACAACTGTTACAGCTGATGGTAATATTTTTTATTATTATAAATAATAAATAAATATTAATAATAAAGTATTATTTATATTTTTTAGTATATAACTTATATTAGTATTTTGTTATGTGATATTTTTAGTTTATAAAATATAAGTTAAAGGTTGTAGGATATTTGTCTTTTTGGAAACTTGTGTTTCCTGAATTTTTTATAGAAATTTTTTTCTGAAAAGCAAAGATTTGTATAACTATCCTAATATTTAACAACATTACCTTGAATTTAATATAAACTTGAGGTGCTCATGATTTACATTTTGAACATTGATATGGGATGATTAGGTAGTATTTTATTTAAAGGCCTAGGATTTGGGAAAAAAAATTTTAGGTATTTTGCATAAGCTATACGTTTTAGTTGTTAGAGAGAAGAGATGAGCAAAAATTATCCATGCATACATTCAGACCTCTAGATTTACTGTGTGCATCTTTTATTGATTTATATGAATTCAGTTTCTTCATCTAAGTGTTTCCACTTAAGTATTGTTGCTATTAATTTTATATATATATATAGGACATCCTATTAGGCGCTTCCTATATATTCAAAGAGTTTTATCTCTCTGGATTTTAGGTTTTTTAGATCTTAATGTAGCTAAGATGTCATATTTAAATATAATGTGAAAAAGAATATTCTATTTTACATTTCCTGCACAGTGATGATTCTATCATTCCCATGTGTAAAGATGTTTAATCAAATGATCATGTTCTAGAAGTAGTTCAGTCTGACTTCTTGATATCTAATTATGTTACTAAGATCCTTCAGTAGTAGACCAGGAGTCTTGGTAAACATTTTAGATTTTCTGGATACTACAAGGTAACTCCATACTGGCCTGTGTTCTTTACAACAGTTTTTGGTAATACTCTGAGGGATTGCTCTTTGGTTCTAATCCTAATAACACCTCTGTTGCTACTAAATGTTTTACTGAATGTCCTGTTTACATTGACATTTTTTATTTTGTAAAGAGCCATCAGTTGACATTCTTGCATTAATAGGTTTTCCATAAGATTACTTTTCGTCACAAAATCGTTGTTTTGTGGTTTTACAATGTTTCATCCATAGAGTTTGCCACAAGTAGTTGAAAAACAAAGGGGTCCATCACAGCAAAGCTTGATACTGTGATAAAACTGTACAGAGGTGTTGTGGAGCGTATACCCACTTCTTTGTTTTTCTGTTATTGCGTATACTTATAAAATCATGAGTGATACGCGGGTATACGGCGTATATCCACTATTAGTTTTTTTATTAGTGCATATACGTATTTATAAAATAGTTAAAGAGTATAGACTAAAGAATAAAATAAAAAGTAATACGTGGGTATCGAATATAGGTATGTTTGTCATAAAACACAAATTTTGAATAACTATTATCAGTTTGTTTAATCTCTACAGTCATACCACATATAAACATATACCTGAAGTTATAAACATACAAATATGGCTCGAGACTATTATCATTTTAAAAATAGAATATAAATGTAAAACAAAAATAAATAAATAGGATAATGTTTATCATTTCACGACAATTTTATTGATAAAATTTAAAACATCGATCAGAAATTAACGATATAGCACATACTAAGTTGAAACTGAAATTTATTGGGTTAACCTATAGCTGTTGAAATTGGTAATTTGTATTTTTCCGTAATAAACCGTTTACCAACCAATCTAGTATTTAATATATTACCTATAATGAATTAAGATAGTACTAACATGTACCTATTCACGTTTATTTCATTTATGATTTAACGATTTGAAAACAATAATTGTAAGATTATTTTATTACTGCATAAAGTTTATTGTTTATTTATAAAAAATATAACAGTATCTAATAATACACATATCGATTATATGACTATGAAATTTAATTTATGTAAGAACTTAGAAGTGTCAGTAAAAATATTCGAGTAATAGTTTGGAAGGAGCTAGGCCGTATCTGGGAGGGTTAAGAGTTTTAGTTGCATTATGTAATAATTAGAAAATACATATTTTTAACACAGTTAAAACATCACAATATTTGTATTCCGTCTCCCAAAACTATGTTATAGTTAAGGCCTTTGAAAAGTAGTGTGGGGGTGAAATTCCCCACGTTTCCTCATTTAGGTTTTTAACTTATCTATTGATCAAATTACGACTATATCACTGTTGATAATGTGAAATATTGTATGTAGAAAATGTAAAGTGCAATGGGGGGTGTGGGGGGCGGAGCCCCCCACGTTATTCTCTATTCATTATATAGGCGTATACCCATAAACATTTTTAGGACTACACCACTGAAACTGTATACTGATATGGTACTCCTGATGCCATAAAAGGGATACCAATGATCACTGCCTTTTGGCTAACTTCTTGCAACAAGTTAACAACCCCTTTTACTTGGTATATCTTGGTTAAGGGGCCTATTTGCTGTTAGTAAGAAGGTATACCGGTCTCAATAAACCAAATTCATGACTGGGTTAAGTGCAGTGGTACATGTTGCCACTCTCATCAAGTTCAACTAGGGTCTGTGGCAGGGTAGTGAAGCATGTGAGTCTTGTAGATCCCTTTGCATAATATTCTACATAAATTATAAATCAATTTTTTTACTGTAGCAAATGTATTTTTTCATAACTTTGGTACAGGAATACTAATTTTTCAACATGATCTGTCATAAGTTTTGCTTTTTTCTTTTTTTTTTAAACCATGTTATGTTACTAGTAGATGAGAACTAGTGTCTATTTCACAGTTTGCAGTTAAAATACATAAATATGTTCGAACAGCATGTTTGAAATTGAAACACTAACATATTTTAATATATAACAATTATTTTAAAATATTGTTATATAGCAAAATATTTATTTTTTATTTGATCTAATGCTTTGGATACTAAAACATTAGCTTAATGCATTCTAAGGTTTTAAAGATTTAATAGTATTAAAAATGTCAGGGATAACAGATCTAGTAAATATGTGTTAACTAGAAATGTCAATTGAAAAAATTTCTTTACAATAATATTATTAATAGTTCATTATGAGTTTTTATATTATGAATTATATCTTAGTATAACAATTTTGACAAATGATGTCACTGGTGTAATTTTGAGGGGATATGGGGACAATATCTCCTCATGACATAAATAATTACATGATGAAGGTATAATTTTTTCATTTGGATAGGGTAGTGTAAATTTTTCATCTGTATATCATTCACTATTAGTCTATTAGTAATAGTAATAATTGTTAATAATAATTTAAAAATGTAATGTGTTAAATTATTTGTTTTATGTACTAGTCCAGTGGTCGGCAACCGGCGGCCTGCGGGCCGGATACGCCCCGCATAGCTATTGAATACGGCCCGCTTTAAATTCTAAATCGACTAATTTAATTGAATATCATTTTGTATAAATATAATTGAACGTTGCGTTTTTGGTACGGGTATTTTATATAAGTCATATTATTATTTTAAGTTTTAGATAGTATTTTTTTGCATAATAAATAATGTAATTATAAATTATTTTTTTTTATCTGGCCCGCGAACTCTTTTTAATTTGTAAATGTGGCCCGAGAATTAAAAAAGGTTGCCGACCACTGTACTAGTCTATTACAAATAATTATGGAATTTTGAAACCTATTTTCATTATTTGTATACATATAAAAGTAAATTTACTATTTTTCTTTTAACTAATAAGGTTATTATGTAAAATAACTTAAATTAAAATCATTATATTAAAAGAAACATAGTTTAAATCTTAATATATTTATTGCAGTAATATTTTTTAACCTATTTATTTAATTTTTATTAAATTATCTTGTTTATTAATTTTAATTCATTAAGTGTAATTTTATTCATAGGTAAAAAACTGCAGTGTCCTTATTGTGAACGATTATATGGCTATGAGACAAATCTTAGGGCTCATATTAGACAAAGGCATCAAGGTATTCGTGTGCACTGTCCATATTGTACTCGAACGTTTACACGGAATAACACGGTGAGAAGGCATATTGCTAGAGAACACAAAACGGAAATCGCGGTGAAATCTAATCCTGCTTTTCCTCAAACGGCGAATAATAACCAATAACTTTACCAAATTTACCTCTTTCCCTTACCCAAAAAACTTGTTATCCTAATACCTTATCTACCTCTCGCTAGACATAGATTATAATATTTATCACCAGGTCAATATGAAATATTCTGGTACATAAGCAAACTGCAGGCTAACTGCCCTTAAAGTACAAATGTAAACCATAAACACTTCTGTAACTATTAAGACTGATAAGGATAGTGTTAGTTTTTAGGTGAAAATACATTTTTATGACACTATCCTTAATATATAACTTACCTCAATGATTTTTATGTTTTATATATATATTTATATATATAACTCATAATACATATATATAAATTTACAATTACATATATATTATTTATAAATATGAATATAAATAAAAATGTTAATGTTTATTCTGTAGATTGCTTATGTGTCCATAAGATACCTTAATATCACAAAGTTAGTTAAGTTACAATGAAAGCAGCTCTCTTGTTGTGTAAAAAACTATTATTAAAAATGATTTTATTTCTACATTTATTTAATGATTTTATTGATGCATATTTATGTACACTTAAATAATTGATTATGAATGGTACATTTTTAGTAATACTTATTTGAGAATTAATGAATTCAGTAATTTTGTTGATAATATTATATAGTGATATAGTTGTTGTTATTATTGCATTAGAATGAATTCAAGTTTAATTGAAACTAGTTTAAAATGAAACTATTATCTTTTTAATTTTTATTATGTATTCATACAATGAAATAAGTATATATGAATGATGATTTTAAAATTTCTATATATTTAAAAACCATTCGTGAATAACATTAAAGTCAAAATTCTCATTAAAAAAACTAAACTTTTCAATGATTTAATAAAACTACTAAAAAAATTATTCATTGTAAAAAACAAGCGTAAAGCTTACATTATATTTTATCTTATATTACACATTTTATTCCATCATAGAATTTATTTCTCATAAGTATCTCTAAATGATATTTATAATACAGTATTGTACATTGTTGAATATGTGTAGGTTATTATTATTTTTTCAAAATGTACCTGATAAAAGTAGTGTTTCATACATTATCTTTTAATGACAAATTTCATCATTGAAATGTACCATTCATTTTCCAAATTGAAACAGTTTATTTCTTAATACTAGTCATAATATTGTTGCACTAGTCACAATATGATTGAAACCAGAATTTATCCTTTTTGTATTATACACGCTTAAAAGTCCAAATTTATTTTTACACCTCAAGACCCTCATTATAATAAAAATTAAGTGTATTTTTCAAAATTTTACCATCATCAGTTGTTGTAAAATTTATATTCGACATTTCTGGTATTAAAAAAAAAAAATTTTTACTCTGTTAATACTTGAATTTGTTTCTTAAATATAATTGATAATTTTTAATGAAGTTAAAAAATTTAACGACTTGTTTCAATTTAATGTACAAATTTTAAATTAAGTAATACTTTATAGTTAATAAAGTAAAAAGATAATGTCTATTATAGATTATAACAATTATATAATATGAAGTGAGGCGAATAGTGATCAAGTCTCAAGTCATAATGCACTTTCCTTTTCGCCTCTATAGTGTTAATGTAACGATAGTACAAGTATTTTTTAATACCACATGTTATAGTTTTATTAGAACGTAAGATGTTTTATTGTTTATTTTGTTATTTAAGCAGTTAAGAATTTTATTATGCGTTTTGCCGGTAATTATAAATAATTACACAACCTTTTTGATGATTATAGTAGCTAATTATAAGAATTAATGCAAAATCAAGAACTCCAATTTAATGTAATATTTTTTCTTTTTATGGTAAAGTAATTATAATTGGAATTCAAGTGAGCATTAATTTAATTAATTTTCATCATCTTTTAATTATTAATTAACAAAATAATTTTTGATTTTTGGATATTAAATTTTATATGGTATAATAATCAAGTCATTCTTATTTTGTTTTTTTAATTCAAACCAAGTTATTCATAGTTATTAAATTTAATTGTTCTGATTGTTACATGCATTTTATTGTATGATAAATTAATCTATTATTTTTATTTTATGATACATATATATTTAATTTTTTTTTTTTTTGTTAGTGATAATTGAAACAAAACATTTACCTTGCTTGGTACATAACTCAAAGTACAATTTGTGGTGTCTTAAGTAATGATTATTAGTAAAACAAAAATAAATAGATAGAATATTATTTGGGGAATTTTTTGCACTAAAATGAAGTGCAGACAATCTGTAAAGTTTGTTCAGTATTCTGTTATAAGTTATGACATTCCACGATAAGTGTTAAAAATTATCCTTTGTTGTTAGCTAAACATCACTTTAAGAATATTATAAAATAATATTTTTAATGACATATAGTACAAATTGACTACCTCCACTTTTAATAAGTTTTAGAGTAATTAAATTATATAAAATTAGGCTAATATTATTATCTAATTCATATCTATAGGGTTTTTTTTAAGCAAGTTCTTTTATTAATCTTATTATTATTACTATCAACATTTATCATTGTTTCCTAACCCATCTACCTCTGTTTTATTATTTTTTTTATTATTATTATTGTAGTTATATAATATTATTATTTTTATTATAATTATAATTATTATTATTATTATTATTTCGTATGGAAATGTGAGGAATATTATAGTACAAAAAGTGCAAAGAATTCCTCTGTTATTCTTTTTTTTTTATGTATAAAATTAATATTATTAGTAATTAATATAGGAATTAATTGTGTTATATTAATGTTGCTAAATTGTAGGTATTTTGTTAGTGTTTGAATTTATTCCATGTGTCACCGTTTTAAGTAAATATTTAATCTAGTGTGTAAGTTTTGCTGTGATTATTCTGTTTATACCAATTGTATAGTTTCACTGAATCAGCCATTTATATTCTTTTTTAAATGTATTTATTAATTTGTTGTTTACAATAAAACTGCTTGCAAATCAGTCTTGTAAAATTTAACTTATAAAATTATTAAAATAACTGGCAAAAATTCACAAAAACTATTTAAATTGCAATGTTTATTATAACATACAATAAAATTTTATGAAACCATTGTAAGATGATGTATGTGAATTAAAAATGAACTTGTTTTATTACCAGGGTATTTTTTTTTTTTTTTTTTAATTTCTTAATATTTTGTTATGGTCATAATTATATTTCGTTTCGTGCATTTAAACCCAATATAATTAATTAAGCTCAAACATGACAGGCTGTTTAATTTTTATTACATTAATATAACAAAACTTGAATTTTTTCTACATTTAAAATTATTTTGCAGAAACGTTTAGTTAACGATTTAGTTGGGAATAAGAAAAATATGAAAAACATTATAATTTGATAATTATTAAAACATTTTTATTTACAAGTTTGTTATTTTTTCTATGTTAACCTCTTATCAAAACATTTTATGGGTAATCATTTAAATTTGATACTCTGAAAATCTATATTTAAATTTGACAAAAACCAGACAAATTTAACAAAGTTATATCTTTTAATAATTTAGTGAATTTTTATAATTTATTACTGAAGCTGTTGTTATGTAATAATTTTAACAAAAATATTTTAAAGTTAATTGAAATTCTATTTTGAAAATAAACATTTGTTAAACTATGTTGATTAAAAGTTAACTTATAATTTAGATTCAGTAATTACGAGATTTATGGAATGTTCATTATATATATGAGTAACTTCTATTTTCATACAGCAACTATATTAAATATACGCGTAAAATCAATATAATTTAAGTTCCCTACTAAAAATAAATTATTTTATTTTGTTTATGAGACATTGGATCATATTTTTACTTCAAAATTTATAAAGGAAAAATAGTTACTGGTTAAATGTTTCTAAACCTTATACATTTTAACTGAATACCATCTAAATATCTTACTATTTGAATTATATTAAGGAAAAAATACTAATTCAGAAAAATGAATATATCACAACATTAATAGGGTGTTTCATTTATCATAAACCATTTAATTAATCAAAAAATAATGTTGGAATTTTTTTTTTATTACTTTTAGTATGTGTTTTACAATTTATCAATCATAAAGTACTTTTAGCTTCGATGCAAAACTGAGAAGGTATTAGTATTACTATGATTGGTTTTTTTTGTGTCTGTTACCACTTTTTCTCAGCTCTCACCGATTTCTTTCAACGATACGTCAAAAAATCACAAATCGTATCTAGTTGAAGACTACCCTCAAAAATTGAAAAAAATTCCCTCGTTCCCCGTAAATGGGGAAATCTCCAAAATAATTTAAATTTTACAAATTTAAAAATCGCTAATTTTCGACATTTTTTACTTAAAATTGCCATAACTTTTTTTAAAAATGAAGAAATCGATATAAATTTTATTTATATAGATACATGACGTATTTACCTATCATTTAATATATTTTTTTTATAAATTTGACCATTTACCTGCCCACAAGGAGGAATTTAAATGACAACTTTTTCATAAAAAATTAACTTTTGAAAGTGTTCCAGAAACTCTGACACTTTTATATATATCTTAAATTAAAATTAATGCAACATTTTTATCATGGGAAAAAAAAATTTCAGACTATTTTGTCTTCACGGAAAATGGCAACCGAATGCTATTCTTGTGTGAAAATTCTCGATTTTATATTTCATTTATTTGTGAAAAATGTATGGATCAATACAATATTTTCATGAGAAGTAGTATTTATATACATCTTTCATTCGACATACTTTTTTTTAAATCGGACCATTTACCTATATACAGAGAGGGTACAAAACTTTAGTCACACCCAGGAACCGCCACTGTTGTTAATGATAAGTAAATTAACACATCAAAGTTTGAGTAAAAAAGTTTTAAAACGATACCAGGAATTTTAAGAGATGTATAAAATTATATTTAGAAATATTGAAAGTAAATTTCTAGATAGATGATTTCTAAAAAAATTAAAATAGTACTAGGAATTTAGCAGATTTACATATCGTTTCAACAGCTGGTCGTTAGCGACAATTGCGTTATTCAACTTACAAAGTAGATGTACAGGTGTGATAAAACCATTGTAGAATAATTTTAGCCTAAAATAACTGATGACATCCTAGACGTTCAATAAAAAACAGAATTCGGCGTTTCCATGGTATATACATTTCGACTATACTGAGGACTACGAGAGAACGCAATTTGGCAACCAAATGATAAGACAAAAGATTCCTATGTTTTACAACTTGCATTCTCTCGTGATCTGCAGTATAGTAGGTTATATTCAACAATATAAGCTTCTGGTATTAAATTTTGTTAAAAATCCTTCATGAAACAATAAATCTTGACATTAATACGGTACCTGTGTATTTCAATTTATGTTATTTCCTAAAATAATTCGTTTAAGGTCCACGCACACTTAGTTTGAGAGGATTTAAGAGTAGAACTGTAGCAAGGAGGGCGAAAGATGCCAATACCCCGGACACAAAAATCAAGAAATTAAAAAAATATATTAATAATATAGAAAATATTTATCTAATTACAAAGATCGAACGAAGTAATGCATTATTATATTAAAAGGATAATTTAGTTATATCTTCAAAGATAAAAAGTAATTTTATTTTTAGAAAAAAATAATGGCGTATCGTTTCATCAAATTACAGATTTAATCTGTAGTAAAATGGGGTTGTAGGTCGAATCCGTCATAAAATCCATATTCTACACAGTTTTCAATATAAGAAAAAAAAAAGGTATGATGTTACCCTGGTTGTCACACTGAAGTTCAAAAATATGATATATACAATCCTATTCGGTAAAGTTAATCATAGTAAGCTTCTAAATGTTGAAATCTAGCTGTTTAATCGTGGAGGAGTCATATATATATACATGAATATTGTGAAAAAAATCTGCATGGATACTCCCACGCGGCCTTGGCGTAACTTGTCCAAATAATAGTTAAGGGCCCCCTATTTTACTTATTTAAAAATTTAGAAATTAATACTTATAAAGAAAGTCATCGAAAAACAGTAGCTTTCAAGTTGAGAGTATCCTATAAATGGTACTCATTTTGGGACCCCTAAGATCAAATTACGACACAGTTATTGTTCTTATAGTTAGGGTAGAAAATTAAGTATGGAAAATTTTTACTTGTTCATTGTGTTTCATCAAAAATAAATTTGTAATCATAGTAATATAAAAATTTGTGGATTAGACTATAAGTATATTTTTCATGAAAAAACTAAACCGAGTGTCAAGGAGTTAATTATAAACTCAACTTATTGTTAAAAATAAATGTACTATCAAGTATTTTTTGTAAAAAGAATAAAGCTAATTGAAGAACGCATGTTGCTTTAATTCAAAAATACTTTAAGATGACAATTATACGTGTTAAAAATGTTATATTTATTTTTCTTTTACTTCCATGATATTAGACCATTTACCAGAATAACCTTATATGTGCTACCACGTTTAATGTTCTTTAACCTGGTATTGCTTCATTCGGCTCGATTAAAAACTTGATAGGTAAGCGTTAGCGGATCGTTTATGTTTTTGTGTAAGTTTTGTTAATTATATATATATATAACATCAACAATTAACTACCAGAAATTTAATTGTTGAATTAAAAATGGCAAGTTCTGCAAGTAATAGAACGTCTCGGTTATTACCTGATGATTTGTCTCATGTCGAATTCGAAACTAGTGAAGATGTTGAAGTACTCTCTACCTTTGATGGCATGCATTTGCGAGAAGACTTGATTCGTGGTATTTATTCATATGGTAAGTGTCGAAAAATTAGTTAGACTATAAAATACTTTGTAAGACCATATAGGAAAATGAAAATGTCTAATAATGTAATAGTTTAAAATGTATGGCGTAGGAATTTAATATGGCGGACAGTTTGTACTATTATAGGTAGTAATAATTAGTAAATGGACACACTTTATTTAAAAAAAAAAAAAAATTTAATTTTTCACATTATAATACATAAAATTATATAAAAAAGTTATGTGTTAAAAATTTGAATGTATTGCAGATAATTTTAAGTAATTATCGATTAGTAATTAATTAATTTTCATGCTGAATTTTGCCTTATAAGTTTTATTTTCAATAGTTAACTTTGTTTTTATTTAAATTTTTTTAATTGGTGCTAAACTTTGTAAATAATAAAAATGACAACGTTGTTGTGTGTTGAGAGGCTCTTAGTATTAGCAAAATTGGAAGCTGATCTAATCTTTTTATTATAGAATCTCGGTACTTCTACCAGATTGTATCGAGTAATCCTGTTGAGGCCTTACAGTAAATTTTGTTGTTCCTAAAACTAGCTTCATTCATTCCATATAATTTATATACTTCTAAAATGGTAGTTATTGGTTTTGTGATTTATAAACATGAACTCTCAATTGGGGGTACAAGTTAACAACATTGTAATAGTATTTGTCTTTATGCCCCACTGTTTTAATTAAGATTGATTCTCATATACCCTCAAAATTTGTTTTACTATTTTTACAAACTGTTTTTTAACAATAATAATAGTAATAAAAATTCTTGTCAAGCTATAATAATAATATGTATTAAAAGCTATAAAAAAAAACTCAATGAACAACAATAATAATAAATATTTATTTCTATGGAGTGTTTTAAGATATCAGAACCTAATTGGTTCTCAAGGGATGTTGGCTGGTAATTCAAGTGTGGTAAATCAATGGTAACAAGCTTACACAAACTTTGTTAAAAACTATGTTACTAATATTTAATACAAATTCTAAGTTGATGTATTTGATAATGGTAAATTGTTAACTAACGTTGAAGTGTCTTATTAATTAAGCAAAATAATAAAATGTTTTATTTGCACCTGTACAGTTTATACTCATAATGAAGTTTTAGGTACATTTATGCTGATTAAGTACTAGTGTTTTAATGAATTGGTTATGTTGGACAAAGACAAATAATCTGTTTATAATGATTGTTTTAAAATTATTTATTGTATAATTAGGTAACTGATAATATTTATGGTTATATTTGTCATATATTTAGGATTTTTTTGGGAGGTGCTAATACATTTTTTTAATAATTTTGTGACAAAGTTTTTTGATAACTTTGCTCAAATTTCTTTTAAGGGTAACAGTTTTAATAAAAAAAATTAGTGGTCATATTTTTTTTGAGGGATGGCCCTTTGGTTATATGTAAAGTATACTCTTAAAATGTCACCAAACTAATATTAATTAAGTGTATTTCGTTTAAAGTTTTGAGAAATATAATTTTATCTCATCTTATAGAATATAATTCCCAGTTTACCTAAGTGTCTACCATCAATTATTATTCATTTATTTTTACAAAATATGTTTAATAAATATTTACTGTTATTTTTGTTTTTATTGTATAAGCTTTTATGTTATACAAATTAAATATTAGATTGTACAAAGTGTCCGTTAAATAGTCATTTGTGTTGTAAAATAATGATGTTTGTAGTTAAATCTCTAAAAATTCATGACAATTAATCTAAATACCTTCCTAGGCTTTGAACGGCCTTCAGCCATTCAACAAAGAGCTATCAAACCAATGATTAAAGGAAGAGACGTTATTGCTCAAGCTCAATCAGGAACCGGTAAAACAGCTACATTCTCCATTGCTATGTTACAGTCTATCGACACACAACTAAGAGATACACAAGTATTGTGTTTATCGCCAACTCGAGAACTTGCTGTACAAATCCAAAAAGTGAGTATCTTTAAAAACAAAACAACATAATTCCTATAATTCCTTCCAAAATTATACTTATATTAGTATAATTATATCAATGTTAATTAAAAACAAAATTTAATATTTAAAATGTTAAGCTTATTTCAAATCAAATGTCAGTTAGATTTTAATTTGTTTAATATAATTATCTTTTAAAAAATTTTACTAAAAAATAAAAAAAAATTTACTACTGAAAATTTTAAACTTATTTCATATAATGCTTAACATTAAAAAAATCTATTTTTAATTGTTTCTTTATAACGTAGTTAATTTTTTTATTCAAAGAGTAATTATTTTACTTTTTTGAGTTATCTACATTATTGTAATTTTCATTTCAATATTTTAAATGTATAAAACTTGATGAATTTTTTAATATTATTATTTTAGGTTGTTTTGGCATTAGGAGATTACTTAAATGTACAATGCCATGCATGTATAGGTGGTACTAATCTTGGAGAAGACATTAGGAAGTTAGATTTTGGTCAGCATATTGTTTCTGGAACACCTGGGCGTGTTTTTGGTAATAATATTGAGAAGTACTTTTAATTTTTTCTTTTATCACTGATTAGATTTAACAGTCTAATAGGCTGTTGCAAAATATTTAAATTTTGATAAATTAATTATGTAAGAGACTTTAATTAATTGTTTACTTAATAAATAAAATAAAATAGTAATGATTTTAAAAAAATATTCAAATCTTATTTAAATTTCATCTGATATTTATTTTTATTTTTTTGTAATTTGAAATATAATGTACCTATATTTTATTCTCTACTTGCATCACTAATTATTTTCAATTGAATCAGGTCTATTCTATCCTTTTTTCATTGAACATTTTGAATTAATGTATAATTTTCGGGGCTAATTGATTTATCAATCATACTATGAAATGAATTAGTATAATGTTTACAAGTAAAACAAATTATTATTACAATATATTTTTTTATTGGATTTTATTTTAAAAAAACTTGAATTAATGGGTAATAATTTTCTTTTTAACTATAAAATAGATATGATTAGACGTAAAACATTGCGTACAAGAAATATCAAAACATTAGTATTAGATGAAGCTGATGAAATGCTGAACAAAGGTTTTAAGGAGCAAATTTATGATGTCTATCGTTTTTTGCCTCCTGCAACTCAAGTAAATATATAACACTTTTTTAATTTTTAAAATTAAATAAAAATTTTTATTTTAATAGGTCATTCTTATTTCTGCTACTTTACCTCATGAAATTTTGGAAATGACAAACAAATTTATGACTGACCCTATTAGAATATTGGTAAAACGGTTAGTATATAAATTAAAGGTGTATATAATTTGTAGTGATTTTTTATAAATATTATATTACTATTATTATTTATAGTGATGAATTGACATTAGAAGGAATTAAACAATTCTTTGTTGCTGTAGAACGGGAAGAATGGAAATTTGATACATTGTGTGATCTGTATGATACTTTAACAATAACACAAGCAGTTATTTTCTGTAGTACTAAAAGAAAGGTAATTTTTCTATTATCTAATTAAAATATTATTTATCTAATATTACTTATTTATAATAAATAATATTTCCAATTAAAAGTTATTTTCATTTTTAACAATGTTTTATGGTAATTAAGAGTTATTATGTAAATATAGTTATAATGTATTAAAAATACATTTTTTAGTGTATTTTATGAGTTTTTTTTTATTGATACTTAGTTCTCTAAATAATGCTTTTATAATTACTTTATCTTTAAGAACAATAAAAAAATCTTCAAAGTTTGTAGCAACCTGAGAATCAAACTTTGAACTCTATGGTTCAAATTAATTAATAATTATACATATTAATAAGAAAAATTTATATATTAATATGAATATCAATTATGAATAATAATTGAATTCTCTATTTAGGTCGATTGGTTGACAGAAAAAATGAGAGAATCAAATTTTACTGTAAGTTCAATGCATGGTGATATGCCTCAAAAAGAGAGAGACGCTATAATGAAAGAATTCCGTGCTGGTCAGACGTACGTATTATTTCATTGTTTTTGAGTTTTTATTTTAATAAACTTATAATATTTGTATTAATACACCTTTACTTTTTTTTTAGGAGAGTTCTTATTACTACAGATATTTGGGCTCGTGGTATTGATGTACAACAAGTATCATTAGTTATTAATTACGATCTACCAAACAATCGTGAGTTGTACATTCACAGGTAAATTATTTTTTTTTTTTGTGCTTTCCAAACATTTGAAATTATGATTTTGAGATAAAAAAAAAGTTTTCATTTTATAGAAATTTATGCTTTATATTTTAACTTATTATATCATTGTGTAGATGAGTTAAATAAGTAAAAATTGGCCTGTTATATATATATATATATATATATAGTAAATTCCTTTATATATAATTTATAAGAATTTTTAATTTTGTGGGTTTGAAGAATCCAATTATCAAAAAAAAAATTTCATAATGTTGGTTACACATCTACCTGAAGTATGATTTTCATCTGACTTGAATGATTAGCATAGGTTATGCTCACTGTGTTCTTCTATTTTAATGGCAAAGTGCATCATGAATTCTAGTCATTAGATTAAACGGTTCAAAGCTGTTTGCGTGAAGCAATCTGAAAAAACAGCCCAGATTTGTGGCAAACAATTCATGCCTTTTGCACCACGATAATACACTTGCTCACTAACTCAAAGATATAGTTTGAGAAGAGTTTCGAGGATTAGAAGAAGCGTTGGCACAAGTGCATAATATCTAATGGGGACTTTTTTGAAGGCGACAACATTATTGTTCATGAATAAATAAATATTTTTTTCTAAAAACGAAAAATTCTCGTTATTTTCTGAGAACACACTTTGTATAAATGAGTACTTGGATATTGTATTAGAAAAGATATTCTATTAATTTCAAAAAATACATTTTCCCTGTATTTAATCTTTAAAAATTATTTTAATTTTACCTTTTTTGCTATAATTATAATAATCTCTGTAAATTATAATTTAGTTTTATCAGTTCTACACAATAATAGTAAGATATAATTTCTTCTTTATATCAGATTAAAAACTCATATAGTTTTTGAATATAATTTTATACAAATGCATAATCTTCAATAACCTAGCTAGAATAATTTTAATTTAAAATGTTGCTGTATTGTAATGTGTAAATCCATACATAATTTTTTCCTTTTTTACATGCATATTTTCCAATTTTTTAGCATAAAAATATGAGAATATAATATAATAGTTTAAATTTACATTTGTTAAATTTTTAGGATTGGTCGTTCGGGTAGATTTGGCCGTAAAGGTGTTGCAATAAACTTTGTAAAAAGTGATGACATAAGAATTTTACGTGATATTGAACAATATTATTCCACCCAAATTGATGAAATGCCCATGAATGGTATGTATATTTCAGTATTTTACCTTTCTCCTAAAACAATAATCATGAAATATGAAAAAAAATAATGATAATATTAGATTAATTTTTATTTTATATTTAGCTTTCAATACACAGCTATATCGCTTATAACTTTTATTGTTGTTATTATGTTTAATTAGAATTTTGTAGAAAAAGTTCAACAATCTTTTGAGGTTATAAGAGAATTGTGGGGTACAAGGACTAAATAGATTTAAATTTATTAATATTTATAAAAATTAACTTCATTTCTTTCTACACATTTAAACTTTGAAATTAAATATTATTTTATTAAATCTATGATTTTTTTTCTATAAATTAATTTCATATAATTATAATTACATATATTTGTAACTATAAACTTTTAAATATAATTCTTAAAATTTTATTGTCAAAATTGATAAATTATAAAGATTTCTTTTCATGATAAATAGAGTTTAAGAAAATGTTTTTAGGTCTAATTATAATATAATATAAAATTTATATTTAGACCCTTTGGTTAATTAACTAATTTTTTTTTCAGTTGCTGATTTGATCTAATATGTACACAGAAGAAAAAATATTACTAAGATATACTTGACAATTTTTTTTTATTTTTTTTTTAATATTAGTATTAGTTTGATAATGTAATGTATGTTGTTAATAAATTAAGTAAACCATAATACTGATAAAAAGTTTTATTTTTACATTTTAAAATCAAATTATTCAAATAAATAATTTTTCTTTATAGACACCGTCATAGATTAAATACACATAGATTGGCCATGGGAATCAGACTATTGGCAGCTGATTTTTTGTTAATTTATAACTGGAAACGTATTACCCCTTTGAAGAATATTTATTAATGATGGTAGAGGTTTTCTTTCTTCAGCTTCATTCTTCCCACTAAAACCATACCCTCCGTGTACTCTTTCATATCCTTTCTTCTGATTACCTACATGTCCATTCGTATCTCTACCTATCACCGCATCCTCATTGCCAGATACCCCTTGCATCACTTCATCCACCTCTCTCCAAAACACTTCCTTGTCTATTTCACCACATCATACTGTGGTGCTTAGGCACTTATTACATTCAGCACTTTTTCCTCAAATATCAAAAATTTTTGTTTTAATTACAATACTAAAATAATTTTATTGACCATTTTAATAGCACAATACTAACACTATCCAACTAACAGATACTTGCACAGATTTATAATAAAACCGTTTTATTATAAAACAGGACATTTCAGGTCAAATCACTAAATTTTCGTGTTTTCTTGTATGCCTATTAATATTGAATTTATTCAATGTGAATTTACAAGTTGTCAAATGTTATAGGCACCGACACTAGTTAACTTATTGTCTGCCAGAGCGAACTCTTCAGTTCGGTGCACGATATTTATAGAAAAGTAATCATAGTTTATAGAAAAGAAACATGCTTTAAAGAAAAAAGAACCATTGATTCTATAAACATTTTGTTTTATGAGAACTATGAAAAAACAAATTTACGAACTAAGATAAAATGGATTGGTTACGAAGCTTTATCGAGCAATCTGGTTTCGTTGATGCAACAGTTACGTAATAGCGCCATCTACTATTTTATATGAATTTTCCTGATTTTCCATTCCAAAACCAGATCGCATTCTTCGTTCTCGTCGACCTTATCGTGTCCAGTATATTTTATCTTAATTCGTGGTTATAACGTATAAAATAAGTAAAATGAATAAGAATATATGATATACATAAAAAACGAGAGTGAAATCGATGTAATTTTCCGAAATCAGATAATGAACTGTTGGTCGTGAGCCGAATCGAATATATGAACCTTTGCGTATAGAGTGCACTATATCTAGAAAGTTGGAGAATATTCATAGACGTAAGTAACATAGATGGCGTTACATTTTGAATAATCTAGACGCTTTAATTTAGAATATACGACTTCGTTTGTCACGTGTCTAATTTACTAAGAGTCATACAGTGAAAGTCTAACAATTTTTGATGATATCATGCTAACTAAGAAGCAATTAGTTTAATTTTCTATACTGGTTTTTTTTCTGTGTCAGTAATCAAATTGATTAACTTTTACATACAATTCTCCTTAATCATCAAGATAAAGAGATATATCCTCAACAATTACAATTCAAATAGATGAATTTAATTTTTTTTAAACTTGCATTAAATTATAGCTAACATAATGTACCTTACATGTTAATATAATGTACTTATAATATGATGGAATAAACATTCTGAATTTTGATTTTATGTATTCTTAGCCGAATATGATAAATTTTTTATTTTCAATTATTCTCCATCTTACAGCACATCAAAGCGTTTTCAATCAATACTAATCTAAAAAAATTGCCTCATCTCTCCTTTGTTGGATTCTGTCAATATTAGCAACTTAAACCGTTTAATTTGTTTTCGGTTATGAAAATCCCAAAAATCTATTTAAACTGTTATAATCAGTTTTCAGGAAACCGATTAGATCCTCTGGTTTGTAATTAACTTTTTTTTATGTACTTTCAGCTTGGTTGATATTTTAGCTATGAGAAGGTATTAATTTTATCGTGTGTTTTTTAAGTAATAGTTAGGACTGACATATGGGAATCTGGCTTGGTGGATACTAGTCTTTTTTTTTCCTCGCTTTAATCCCTACTAATTTGGAGTCGACCACCTTTATTTTAAACTTCACTGGACACGATCACCCTTGGCGAATACTAGGCTTGGTGGATACTAGTAAATATTTAAATCTAACTAATTAAAATTACTATGACATACACTTCAACGTAAATATACTTAAAAAAAAATTTGATCATTACTTTTTTTAGGGGTTAACTAGTTTTTAAAAGAAATAATAACCATCTCGAATATTAAGTAATATTTATTGTAGTAATAAAAAAAAAAAGTTTTCTTGTATTCAACAATATTTTTCAATCTAGCTATTGTACTCTTTTTTTAATATTGGTAAAAGTTTATAGATCTAACAATTTATAATTTTTAATGGATAATGATCCATATTTTGGGGTCTATTCATATATTCGTGAACCGTTAAATGCTTAATATTTTCTTCCATGATTACAAATTCATTGAATTTGTAAGCCACGATGTAGATATAATACAATTGTGACGTTATGTTATTATCGTATATGATTACATGAGGTATTATCACTAAGATCTCCTAAATATTATCAATTAGAGAAAATTCCGAATCATAAATGTTATTAGTTTCTATTAGAAGTGGCCAGATTCCTGGCTCTCTCTTTAATTAAATTAAGTCATCATTTGTTATCAGTCTGAGCGTATTGGAAAGCGAAAATATTGAGACCCTTGAACGAGTCAATACCAAAAGTATGTAAATGGGCATAGTAATTAAGATCAATAGAATATTTATTAATTGTTAACAGCAATATTGAATATAATATCAGTATCATTAGGTAGTATAGATCACTTACGTGGATTCATTATAAATGCCACAATTCAGTTATGACAACATATATTATCACATATCAAGCATAACTCATTCTGAGTTAATATATTAGAAATATTTGAATAAATTATTGTTTTAATATTACCTAAAATAATATTTTACTTAAAGTAATTATTGTTAGTAGCTTTTATAGTAACTTATTTCTTTAGGAGTTAAATTAAATCTTAATTTATTGAAAAAGAGTAGTTATCCATTTTGTCTTTCTATATTTTAATTTTAAAAAGTTCAATTTTGTAGAGTATTTCATTAAAACTCTGGCAAGATTTAGCTCAGAGTATTACATTTTGTTAGGGCAGTGATTTTTGTTTTCTCATTAATAACTAAGCTAAATATTATGTATCTTTTATTAGATATATTATGTTTTTATAACGCAATTGAATTATGGGTTTAATATATTGAATCCTAAAAATATTCTTTATAAAGAGTATTTTTGGGATTATATCAGGAACTACATAACTTTATAAAGAAGGATAACTTAAGCAACAGTTGTTTTTTTTTTTTTTTTAATTAAACATTTTTAGATTATTGTTATTTAAGACTTAATGTTTTCATGGCAGATTATTACATCATTTTATATAATAATTAAATTTTACTTAATTATTGTATTTAATACAGTGATTGATTTATCAGAAAATGTTTTATTTATTAAATAAAATATTGTATGTTATCATCTAAATTTATACTTAAGAATATTTAAATTATGATTCAGTTTAATTATAATATAGTTTTATTGTATTTCAGTAAATAGATAGAAAATGTTTCTTTGGGATTGGGTATCTGGAGCTTTAGGATATTTAGGTAAGTAAATTTTCTACTAAATTTAATTAATATAACAGCATTATATCAACTAATATTAGCATTAAATAGTTATAATTAACAATTAGTAAATTTATAACTGTAATGCATTATGTATCTTAGTAACATTTTACTTTATTAAAGAAATATTTTATTTTTACTATATTAATTATATTTTATTATTTGATTAAGTGAATTTTGTGTTTTAGGTTTATGGAAAAAGTCTGGAAAGTTACTTTTTCTTGGATTAGATAATGCTGGAAAAACTACTTTGTTACACATGCTTAAGGATGATCGTTTAGCTCAACACACTCCTACATTACATCCAAGTATATATTTATCAATTCTAGGCATATTTTTTAGAAAATATTATTTGTGTATAAATATCTATAAAAATTATATCCTCTTACTTTAATTAAAAATTAAGCTTACTTTTCTTAAAATATGAACTAATATCTTGTAATTAATTTTATAATTCTGAACTCTAGTAAAGTTTTTGGTTTTGGTTTAACATTACCAGTTAAAACATAGATAAGAGTATTTCATGTTTTAAAGCTCTATTAATTTCTCTCTAAAAGCTCTCTGGAAAATTTTCTGTTATAATAATGAAAAAATATTTATAATTGACTGACATAAATATTTTAATTTACTACTTTATGTTGAATATTAGATTTTTCTCATAAACAAAAGCTGTAAATGTTATTGTATTAAGAATTACAGTATCACAAATAATAGTAAAATGTTCAGTTTGTTAAAAATATTGGGGAAAAATCAAAAGTATTAATACAATAATTGTATTATTACTTTTGATTTTTGTTAGTATTTAGTTTTTTTCTAGTATTTTATACAGCTAAAGCAATTATTAATAATGGGTTAAAAATAGGTGATGACATTATGGAAATGTAATTATATATAGCTGAAAAAATTAATTTGAACATTTTATCAAAATAAAATTATTTTAAAAAAATGTAGAGAATTAAGTATACTTATTCTTTATTTTACTTCAATACTACTAACTAAAAATGTATACAGCTTGTACTGATGATTATTATTTGCATACTCTCCATGACATTTTTATACTTTGGGGCAGGAAGAGGACAACTCCGAAATTACTTATAATAAAAATAATACCCACGTTTCATTTCCAGTCATCACTATATCATGCTAATAACTTCAAAAATACGGTCTTATAATTATTATTGTCCCATAATTTTCTTAATCATTATCTATTAAATAAGTTAGTTAATTATATATTATACCATTTGACAAAATAAAGTTTTTTTTTTCTTCACCCTTATCCCAACTACTTGGGGTCGGCCACCCTTATCTTAATTTCACTTGATACAATCTTCCACATCAGATGTCCTCATATCGCATTCAATAACATCCTTCCATTTCTTTTTTGGGCTTCCTTTGCCTCTTTTTCCTTCAACATAAATTTCCTAAACTGTTTGTTCTTACAGCTTCCAATTCCTCTCTCTTTATAGCATGACCAAATTATCGAAATCTATTTTTTCTCATCTTATCCATTATTGACGCTATACCTATATTTCCTCTAATATATTCGTTCCTAATCCTATATACTTAAGTCGGAGTGACTTCAGTCTGAGTGGAGTACTCATCCATCTAAGCATTCTTATCTCTGCTACACTCATACTCTGCTCTATTTTCCTGTCAACCACCCAATACTCTGAACCATACAAAACTTACTTTTCAGTGTTATTGAAATTCTCTTGTCACATAACATACCAGATGCTTCTCTCCACTTCACCCATCAACACTTAATACTATGTCTTTCATCCTTATCAATACCACCATTTTTTTGTACAACTGATCTTAAATACTTAAAACTAAGGTATAAGTGTGGAACATAAATAATACTTTATAATTGATAAATTGAGAAAAACATGTAAAAATCTCCCCAAAAAATGTCTCAATTTTATTTTTATTTTTTGACTATTAAGTGGTTTATGATATATAAATTATTCTGTATAAATATAATTCATAATTATCTTTTTGTTAATTTTTTTCATATTTTAAAGCATCTGAAGAATTATCAGTTGGGAATATTAAATTTACAACATTTGACTTGGGTGGTCATTCTCAAGCTCGTAAAGTATGGAAAGATTACTACCCAGCTGTTGATGCCATTGTTTTTTTGGTCGATACATGTGATCGTCAAAGAATAATGGAGAGTAAAAAAGAACTAGATTCTTTACTTCTTGATGAATCTTTGATTAACTGTCCAGTACTTGTTCTTGGAAATAAAATTGATAGACCAGGAGCACTCAATGAACACGAATTAAGAACATATTTTTCTTTACATCAAACTACTGGAAAGGTAGTATTTCATTTTATTTATGTAATGAAATATTGAGTATTTATATTTATTTGGTTTTATAAACATGTAACATATAATAACATAAAAAATGTATAGAAAGTATAATGGTATACAGTCTCTTATTAAGTTTTGTTATTATACAGAGTTATACAGTGTTCAGTAAGTAAGGAAACGGGTTTCTATTTTTCTCATTGTTTGTAACAACTGACCTATTTCCTTATTTACTGAACATTGTATAATAATTTGTGTAATTATATATTTTTATAGGTAGAAAGTAAATTTACAATTACCAATTATTTTGTTAATTATAATATATGTCAAAATGATATTTGTAAAACATTTTCATCTTTGAATTAAAATTATGCATACATAATAACTATTGTTATTAAAAAATATTAGAATTTTTTTTTTATAAATACTATTTGCCAGTCAAACATTTATATAATAAAATAATTGTTGGTGTAAAAATGAAAATATAATACAATATAAGTGTTATACTTATTTTATTTTTATGTATTATGCTGATTCACCATTATGTGATGAAAAAATTTTGTATAATATCATTTCTTAATAATTAAAATTTGTACTCAACCTATTTCATACTTATAAAATCAAATTTTTAGGGTAGAGTATCAAGAGCTGAACTTCCTGGGCGCCCATTAGAAGTTTTTATGTGCTCTGTTCTAAAGCGTGAAGGTTATGCGGAAGGATTTAGATGGTTAGCACAATATATTGATTAAGATATAATATGCCTAATTTTTTTTTTAAATATACATATTTATAAAAATTATGATTCAAATATATATATTTTTTTTTACTGTATTAATTTTTAATTATTACGAAACTAAAATATAAACTTTCAATATACATTGAATTATTTTTCAAACAAAAAAAAATTACATGTAGATAAAAAGTGTGATTATGTGTACATTTTTACTGAATAATTACTGTTTTTATTGTTTTAAATTAAATTTTTATCTACAACAATTTAATAAAGAGTATTACATTTATTTTATGTATACATTTTTCTGGTAATTTTTTTTTTTTATTATTTATAAATCACCCTAAATTAAGGTGTTATTTAAATGTTTAGTATGAATGAATATGTTTTTAAAAATAAAAAATAAATTAAACACTACTCTATTTATGAAGTAAATCTTAGTCCAGAAATTTTCTACAAATCAGATTCAAATGTATTCGCACCACCGTTATTAGTTTATTTCATTGTATTGATCATATTGGAATATCGAGTTTAAAAAAAAAACCGATATTAGACCTGAATTAAAAAAAAACTATAATGTAAGGCGGTAAATCAATTTATACTTTAATAAACATAACAAAAAAATTTATGTTTGTGAGTCTGTTGTTGACAGATGATCATTAAGTATAAATAATTTTTTTTATAAATTAAGAACTACTTCATCCTTGATACAATAAAATGTTACATTTTTTTTAAGTAGGTATATGTAAATTGTTATAAATTATGTTTTTAATTATAATTTGTAATTTCTGATTGGTAAAAAATTAAAATTGACTCATCTCTATTATAAACCCTGTTTTTATTTATATACAGGTTGAATTATCTAGATATACTTTAATATAAAATATATAATTATCTCCCTATGTAATGTCGGCTCTACCTTACGATTTGAAGAAATTTATACACCGTCTGTCGACCTGATGTAAATTCATTATGATTAAGTAAGCCAGTATGGCGATAAGGTGTGTATCACTGTTAAATANGGTAGAAAGTAAATTTACAATTACCAATTATTTTGTTAATTATAATATATGTCAAAATGATATTTGTAAAACATTTTCATCTTTGAATTAAAATTATGCATACATAATAACTATTGTTATTAAAAAATATTAGAATTTTTTTTTTATAAATACTATTTGCCAGTCAAACATTTATATAATAAAATAATTGTTGGTGTAAAAATGAAAATATAATACAATATAAGTGTTATACTTATTTTATTTTTATGTATTATGCTGATTCACCATTATGTGATGAAAAAATTTTGTATAATATCATTTCTTAATAATTAAAATTTGTACTCAACCTATTTCATACTTATAAAATCAAATTTTTAGGGTAGAGTATCAAGAGCTGAACTTCCTGGGCGCCCATTAGAAGTTTTTATGTGCTCTGTTCTAAAGCGTGAAGGTTATGCGGAAGGATTTAGATGGTTAGCACAATATATTGATTAAGATATAATATGCCTAATTTTTTTTTTAAATATACATATTTATAAAAATTATGATTCAAATATATATATTTTTTTTTACTGTATTAATTTTTAATTATTACGAAACTAAAATATAAACTTTCAATATACATTGAATTATTTTTCAAACAAAAAAAAATTACATGTAGATAAAAAGTGTGATTATGTGTACATTTTTACTGAATAATTACTGTTTTTATTGTTTTAAATTAAATTTTTATCTACAACAATTTAATAAAGAGTATTACATTTATTTTATGTATACATTTTTCTGGTAATTTTTTTTTTTTATTATTTATAAATCACCCTAAATTAAGGTGTTATTTAAATGTTTAGTATGAATGAATATGTTTTTAAAAATAAAAAATAAATTAAACACTACTCTATTTATGAAGTAAATCTTAGTCCAGAAATTTTCTACAAATCAGATTCAAATGTATTCGCACCACCGTTATTAGTTTATTTCATTGTATTGATCATATTGGAATATCGAGTTTAAAAAAAAAACCGATATTAGACCTGAATTAAAAAAAAACTATAATGTAAGGCGGTAAATCAATTTATACTTTAATAAACATAACAAAAAAATTTATGTTTGTGAGTCTGTTGTTGACAGATGATCATTAAGTATAAATAATTTTTTTTATAAATTAAGAACTACTTCATCCTTGATACAATAAAATGTTACATTTTTTTTAAGTAGGTATATGTAAATTGTTATAAATTATGTTTTTAATTATAATTTGTAATTTCTGATTGGTAAAAAATTAAAATTGACTCATCTCTATTATAAACCCTGTTTTTATTTATATACAGGTTGAATTATCTAGATATACTTTAATATAAAATATATAATTATCTCCCTATGTAATGTCGGCTCTACCTTACGATTTGAAGAAATTTATACACCGTCTGTCGACCTGATGTAAATTCATTATGATTAAGTGAGCCAGAATGGCGATAAGGTGTGTGTCACTGTTAAATATAAAATATTATTGCTTATAAGTAATTTTAACAATTGAGAAAGGATATAAGATGACATATCGATAATACAATTTTTGATAAACAAATATAAATATTTGAAAGAATAGCGACAGAATTAGAGAGAGCTATCCCTCAGTACATCCCAAATTGCGTATAAGGTAATATTCAAACTCAAGTCGCTATAAATGTTATTGGATTAATCAAAATGTGTCGTAGCAATCATTTTTACACTTATTAAAATAAATAAGTACCGGACAAAATTAAAAAATTCGTATTCTAATGGTTTTCGTAAACATCATTGTAAAAATATAATAATTAAGTAAATCGCAACCGAATTTCCGTGATGCCATTTACGTTGATCGAACACATAACAGGACGAGGGCCACTTAGATAGAGGAGAACAATATTTTTCGTCAGTCAAAACATTTAAATAATTGTTATTCATCAACATTACATGAGAAAGTAAGAAATATGGTTCGTAAACAAATTGGTTTTGGCAGGTGGCTACCTACAAGTCGCATAATGCGCATACAAGATAAACGACCTAAGTCTATGAATGTAAATTCCATGAGCATATTCTAGTGGATAGCTTCCTTTAGAATGCATACGGTACACAATACACGTCGATGACATCAACGCTGTGTTTTTTTGTGATCGCAAGTATTATGATTAAGTGGACGTATTAAAACAAACGGAGCCCATTTAAAAATTATTTCAACTTACTCGAGGCGTTGTCCAAAATATCGAAATAACAACTACGCTCGCTAGTATAAACCCGTTTGGACAACAATATTCACCAATAAAAGCCAAGATGAGTCGGTAAAGAAGAAAGCCGACGGAACTGCACCGCAGGACCATTAACATAATTCAGTTTTAATTTCGATAGAATAAATCGAACCAAAAGAAATTTTTAGTTTAGTAATTTATATATTAATCTACGAGTAGTATTCTAGGAATTTCGCTTTACTTAAAAAAAAACGACCAATAAAAAATATTGACTAAAAAACCGCCTGGGTCATATTCTATTTAAACGAATGATTTTTTTTATTGGTCATATACTTAATCTTCAATTAGACTGAATAATTTGCACACATATACAGATTAATAGCAAAATATGTTCGTTTAATCTAATCGGTTGTGGTGTTCGACTAGTTATTTCGTTGCATGTACTTATAAAATTTACTCTCAAAACTTGCCAATTAATTCTTTTGAACAAAACTTTTTTTAGAGATGTCAGATTTAACAAAATTCCATCTTAATTAAAAAATTAACGCATTATGTGAATTTATTAGTATATTCCAACTATTAAGTTAAAACTGGATAAAATTCTATTTTTTATATTTAAATTAACTGTATCGATGCCGCCAATGCATATCAAATAGATATATTTTCTATTGAAAATGTATCAAATTATATAATTGGTATTCTATTCGATTCAAAAAGCAATTAACTAATAATCCATGCTAACAGAATATAAATTACAACAGAAATAGAGAAATCAAAAACCGGAGAAAAACAGCGTATAGGATTGCCATTTTCCTACTAAAACTAAACTCGTTTATTTATCTGTTATGGATTAACTAGGCAGTAAAAAATAATTAATACTTATTTTTAGAATTACTTATAGATTTTACAAAAAATGTAATTTATTATAATTTTTATTTATATATACGACAATATTAGTTATCTAAAATGAAACTTAAAAAACTACCGCAATCTCACACGCAATGTTATGAAAAATATGAGAGGTCGTTGAATTTTTTAATATATTTTTTTACGAAATACTACATACTCTTAGGGTTATTTCAATTTTATGTCACCGTAGAAGTTTTAGTTAAGTATTCGAAGTCATAAAAATATAATGAAATATAAATTTATTTTACACTATATAGGATAAATAAACAATTTTTTTAAAGACTATGTTTTACTTATATTTACTACTAGACATTAAAGTGGTTGACCCCAAATAGCCAAGAAAAAAATTTAAAAGATAATAATTTTTTGTTCAATGAGCAATAAACACGATAGACTTTACTTAAAGAACATTTTTTGAAATTTCATCAAATGAACTTAATAATTTTGACTGACTGTTTTACCTTCGAGTGTAAACTGATATTCGATCAGAAATTCTGAGGAATTTCGTATAACGGATTAATTGGAACATTTTAAAAGAACTAGAAAAATATATTAACCACAGACTTTGTGATTTTTAAATATTAAGTTTTTGTTTGGGAAATATTATTGTTTATTTCCAGAGACTAAGTGATTTTCAGTGTTAAGAGGGAGGCATCCAAAGCAAGTACCTTAGGGCCACACATTTGAGGGGTGCCAAATATATGATTGCACTAGGACGCCAATGACAGTTAGCATGGCACTGCTTATTTTTTATAAATTATAAAATATAATAAAATTTTAAAAGGAGTTTAATGATTAATCCTAAAATTGTAAATCGAGTATGTAATCATGTGAACTTGAGTGCCCTTTGTATTAATATTGATCTCAATAAATCAAATTTAAAAATTATTTCATTAATGAAATATTTTATAATGAATGATTTGTTTTGCTATTTCCGTTGATTAATCGTTCTGGTATTTGTAAAAAAGC